CAGGGTCACGAGGGTCACGTGCTGTAGGGCGTAAATAAATAGACTAGGGTCTGGGGAGGGGGCACATTATCATTAGAGTATAACCGAAACAAAGCCCAATAACATTAGTTGCTGTTTAAGCTTGCTTTGGCTTCCATAGTACTTGTGTTTAGAGCCTTACATTGGCGAGCCCTTCGGGCGGTCCGGTGCCAAGCTTTGTGGAGTAGATTGGATTTGCACACATCAGAAGGCTGCAGGTTCCGTTCCGTGACTGCTCCTCTCTTTCCTCAAAAACTCAAATCAAAGCTGACCCTGGCGGGAATCTCGAACCAAGAAAGAGCTTCGAGGGAACCTCCAGCAGAATGCTTCTTCACTCTGCTCTGGCTTTCGAGAAAGGTCCTGGACGCCTCCGTTTCAGCTCCGTCCTTGCTCCTTCCTTCAGTCCTTCGGAATGTCATGGGACCTGAAAACAAAGGGACGTGTCGACCCACGCGGCTGCTTTGGTGTTGTTGCAGTGGAAGCTGCTGCTAGAACGATCAGTCCTGGCATACGTCTTCTGCAACCCCTCGATGTCGTACTACAGCACCCCTGCTATGACTTAGAGACTAGGTGCATTAGGAGTAGTAGAAATGGCTTTTCGGCAAAGTCCATCTACTTCGAACCTTGCAGCAAAGCCCTAAGCCCAAGCCACTGGCTTTGTTTGGTGGGCAGACCTCTGTGGCAACACAGCCAAACAGCTGTTGACCCAGACGGGTAGAGTAGGTCAACCCGCAGGTGCATCAAGTGTATCAACGGTGTATCAACGATACTGTCGGATGGGTGGGTTGTTGAACTTTGGGCAGGGTGATAAAGCCCAACCAGGACCACTGAAAAGGCTGTCGAACCCCTTGGGTGTTGCGGCGCACGCATCCGGTTTGACGTGCCGTTCGTTCAGCCTGGCTGCGGCATCCCAGGCTGACTAATGAGCTGAGGCACCTCCGTCGTCCATGGGACTGTAGGTATGTCCAGCAGCACTGCCATAGCCCGATTTAACCTTACTTCGATCTTGGTTATTGAAAGAAATCGAGACGCATGAATGTGGAGCTCAGTTCGCTGTCACACAATGCACAAAGCGTCCCAAATCCATCCAGTGACGTAGTAGCTCGAAACAGTCCCGGCGGGATCCTAGCCATGAGTCCGGCCATCCTCGGCGCTTCGCCCCGCGCTTGGCAGAGAGAGGGGAAACGGTGAGCAGAAGATGTTCTTCGGCAGCTGAGCATGTTAAATCACGGCTCAAGCAGTAGGTTGATTAACATGAACCTGGATCCGCTAAGCGGCATTGAAGGGAAAGTACCAGGAAAGGGGCATCTTGGTATTTGGAGTCCTACCTGCTCAGTGCATCACGCCCATTGTGCACAGAGCCGCCCCAGCTGAGGATTTAATCAACGACTCCTGTGCGACACTAGGATTTTGGATGGTCTTGCACTTTCACCCCAAGATTGTGGGCAACAAGCATTTCACGGAGGTGATGCTGCGTGATGAAGCCAAGAGTGTAGGGTGACATAAGTCATGGCTTGGGGGCCTGGAAGACTGGAAGCCTTGACAACAGAGAGCGAATTCAAAAGCAGCAACAGGAAATTTGTGGAGGAGTGTTGGGAGTTAGAACATGGGCAGCAACGAAGCTCACATTGCATCAAGAGTGTGATGGGAACCGGTTCACGCAAAGTCGAGACATGCTTAGTGCTTCCCGACCATAAGGCTCCTTCTTCAAAAACCCAGATCCGGAACGGGTTTCGGCGTTGAGCTTTAAGGCTGCCGGTGGCCTGTAAAGAGGGGAGCAAAAGATGCCAAATCAGGTGAGAGGATGACAAGGCTCTCAGCACATTCGGCATCGAGCTTACTTGCACTGTCTCACAGCCAATCCTCAAGCAATCAAGCGCTGCCAACGCTAACTCTAACACCACCACCCCCACTACCACACCACCGCCGCCACCATCACCATCAGACGAGATGCGTCAGCACCATGATGACGAGGACGCCGGCGGAGACGACGACAGCGACAACCACAACGAGGCGGACAGCGACACGGACAGCGACAGCCGACTGCGAAGCAATAACGCCATGATGGTCATCATTTCCATAAACTCTCTGTGGGTCGAATGCGAGGAAAACGAAGAGGAATAGTAGTCGTGTCGCTGCTGGCGGCGGTGAGCAGCAGAATCGCAATAAGAGTCGCAAGAGCAATAGTACATAGTACTGCATGAATAAGAACGGCTGCTGCAGCTGCCGGGGCAGGGTCGGCGTGTCCTACTGACACTCCAACACTAGTGGGGATTTATAGGGCTAAGGGATTACAAAGCTTAGGCATTACGGGGCTTTTTTGTTTTAAGCACCTTTTTCCGCCATTACGGGGTTTAGGGCTTAGGGCTTCTACTATATTAACACGAGCTAAGTCAGCCGAGCCAAACACAGGAACAGCCCTCTACAAGTCATAAGAAACGCAGCGTCCTGTTTCGAAAAATAAAGCTCGGGTTGAGGGTCGTGGCTTTGGGGGTGTGGGGATTTGTAGCGACGCAATCTGAAGAGCAATCGCCCGCCACCTGGGACGGATCGTATGGCTCCGCCCCAGCTCCAGCAGACCTCGCGAGGAAACTGCCGAGCTAGGTCCGGAGTTTAAACTTCTTAGTGCTTAGACTCTCGCAACTCGGGCCACGCAGGCGAGGTTGGTCCATGGTTCGCTTTACATGCACTACCTGCGCGGGGTGAGGCGCATCCGGGAACATCCTGGATGGTCTGAGGCTCACGCTGTGCTGTCCTACCAGCACCAACTGGCGATGTTGTAAGTCAACATTGTAGGTTCGATTGATCAACGAAAAATCTACGAGTACAAAGAGCAAAAGCCCCTAAAACTCTCGAACCAAGCCCGAAAGCAGCGCGAGAGTCTCAGAGCCTATTGGACACCAGACCATACAAAACAGAACCTGCGAAAGCCCTCAGACGTGCACAGACTTCACTTGCAAGCATCAGGACTTGCGCTGATGGAAACATCGAGTCGCCAGCACGCCCTCATGCGACTCGGAAACGTTCAGAAGACGGGCCCCTGAATCCTGGTAGATCTTCTATAGAACCCCTGCAGGACCCCTCAACCCTTTATCCTCATATAGAGCTTCTGCTTGAAAACTTACAGAACCTTACAGAACCCTGTATGGAGAACGGCGAAGTTCTTGAGAGAGAGAGAGAGAGAGAGAGAGAGAGAGAAAGAGAGAGAGAGAGAGAGAGAGAGAGAGAGAGAGAGAGAGAGTCATCAAGGGGCCTGGAAAGACTGAGGGTGGGGTTCCTTTCAAGGATTCCCCGTAGGGATTCCGATAAAGGTGTAGTATATAGGGGCCAAAAGGCACAACAGGAATACGTAAGAACTCAGACCCAAAATAGTCCAATAATACTGTATCGGGTTTAGGATATTATTAGGGTTTAGGGTATTAGGGTATTAGGGTTTAGGGGTGTAGGGTATTAGGGTATTAGGCTGAAGGAGGTCCAGGGGGTTTGACCGGCAGGCTGTAGGGGACCAAGGGAGCCAAGCACCCCGGTCACAAATCTTTCGGCGAATCAAAAACAAGATCCGACTCTCCAAAAACCTTGCGAGTGTATAAACTCGAAGCCGCCGAGGCCGCATAAGACGACGAGGCCCAAGCCCTGCACTAAACCGCCCTGGACCCCAAAGGCGCGAAGCCGATTGCCCGTTAAAAAAGTAAACCCTGCGAATCGAATCTCTGAGGTCCAGGGCCCATCTTCCAAGCCTGCCATGAGTGGCTAGGTCAAGCTAGGCCATGGGAGCTTCTGAAGAGCAAGGCAGCCTGTCACAACGCAACATCCTCACGTCAAAGACCGTCACACCCCTGAAACTGAAGCAGGTGAAAGTATGCCATCAAGGATGGTGATAGGCGCAGATGCGATGATGACACTAGTGGTGGTGATGATGACGACCGTAATGCGGGATCGCACTTGGTTGCTACAAATACTGCATCAAGGCGTGCAGCCACAGCCCGCCATAATATCAACTGCCAAAAGTCAAGACCCTGCCCCAGCTATGCACCGGCCCGGCAGCAAACGTGTAGAGTGCGCTCAGGCTACCGCCACCGGAGCCTGAATTGGCACGGCGGCCATTCAACACGTTTCCAACCGGATTCTGTGGCCATGGGCAGGGTCCTACAAGGCGGAAAATCGCATTCAAGCCATGCTCTGAACTAAACAGGCGATCTCGGAAAACGAATGACATCGATGCAGAAACCACGGCATGACCCTTTCCGTTCATGTCTCAGGTTCTTTGCATTCTGCTTCAGGGGTTTTACTGTGTCAGCCTCTGTGCCCGACCGCCAAGCTCCAATTCAAGACGCTGCTAAGGGCTCTAGGCAAAGGGCTTCGACTTTCAGACTCGGCTCTGCACACAAAAGCACAGTAACCTTGGAGCAACCCGTATAGTACTACGACGTGCTATAGGTTTGGGTAACAGCTCTGGCTTTGATTATGTTTGATTCGAGGGCGAAGGAAACACACTTGCGAGCTTCTGTCCCGGAGAAATCCCGACAAGACCGGTCGTCGGTTTGGGGCCTCGGGTCGTGCCACTTGGCATCTCGGAACTTCGAAACCCCCGAGGGCGGCTGAGCAAGAGACCCATCATCTCTTGCAGGGTCGCCATGCGGGAGATCACATGCAGGTAGGCCTCAAGCAAAGACACTTCAGCACTGTCGTCACGCCATCACCAGTATAATCAGCATGCGCAGAAGAGGGAAAGCCGACATGATGTGAACAGCAGCATTCGTGGCCGGCCGCATTAGGTTGGGGTTTCTGGGCAGTCTCTGAGACACATTGTAACGAGTTGCTATGCTGTGGTGGAACATGTGGCAACATGAACGCACATTTTAATCTCCATGTCGCAAAACGACGCCTGGAGCGATCTTTCACCAGCCCGGTCTAGTTCTGTTGGCTTGGGGCTCCTCCCGAGCACTCCAAGCCTCGACACCCCTTCGAGGTGCTTAGAATGCTTAGACGATGACTGGAGAATCAGAGAGTACCGGGAGGCTCTGGTTTCCACAGGGCTGCGATGGCGTGGCACCCTTCGGGCAGCAGAAAGGGCCGGTTCCATCAATGAGGACAGGCGTTGAGCCAAAGCAGCCCAACTGTCGAATCAGTGGTGCAGAGCAGCAGGCATGCTCGGGCATGTCCGTCGGGGCATACAGGTCCAAGGTGCACGACAGAGGACCAAAGCCGTGAGTTACGGTCTTGAAGTAGTCAGTGTACTGCTTGTCGTTGAGAGGGGTCCACTGCTTGCTGCACGGATGCTCCTCCGTGGCAATGGTCAAGTTGGCCTCGAACTTGTGAAACAAGTTGAAGTTCTTTGGGTCCATGCAGGCCTCGCCACAGTAGCCATGTGCCGCATCTGTGCTGAAGACCTTCACCTTCGGCAGCTCGCAAGCCTTGCAACAAGGGCTGGGGTCTGCTGCGGCCACAGCCAGGCAGGCAAGTAACAGCTGCCAAGTGGAGCGAGCCATTGCCAGGATCTTCTACGTGGAGCCGAGAGCTTCGGTCTGCGTCCCGGGGCATCATGATCACCACCATCATCATCATCATCATCATCGCTATGTAAATCCATCGGCCCATCCATCCATCCATCCTTCCGATTCCGACTAGCACACTCGCTCAACCCAGATTTACCAACTGGTACCACTACGACTTCACGGCGTTTACCTTGGCTCTGCTCTTTCCGCACGAGTACTCGAAAAAGTACCACTACTTGCACAGCTCAGTTTAAGTGTGATGTTCGACTTCAGAGATACTAGCTTGTCTTGTCAAACCTCATGAACCTCATGATCACCCACAGGATCGTGATTTCATCGCCATCGTCGCCACCATCCTCAAATATACCCTCACCACAACTTTCAGCAATATACTGTATCCTGCATCCTGAACCACGGCCTCCCCGACGAGGTGAAAATCTGATGCTACCCACGCGCGTCAAGCTGAAGCACGCCCACAAGGTTTGAGGAGTGAGTATTGGCCAAGCTGACGGCCGTGACAGGTCATGCATCGTGACGACAGCTGTAGCATCTCGCAGCTGCAAGCAGTGTACTCAAGCCCAGTCCAGCTATGAGCCGAGCAGAAACGCAGCCGATCGCGCCGCCGCTGATGATGATCTCAGGTTTGGGTAGTTATGCAGGGCACGCACGACGAATGCTTCATGTCTTGGAGTTGTCGCAACAATCATGACACAAGCGGTCCTGCTGAAGGCTCTACGAAGTTGATACCCACTGCAGTAGCATTTCCCGATGAAACCCCCTGCTGGTAGGGTGCGAACCTGAAGAACCAATCACCGAAGCGGCTAGATCTCTAAGGCCACCACAGCTTTGTCGGGTGAGACCCCTTCCGTATCCCGCACGTCCACGTCCGTGCCCGTCGCAGCTGCGCAAGCGAGAGCTTTGCTGTCTCGGAACTACAGCTACTTGATGATTCAGGGCTGCCTTGAAGCAGGCCATGGCTCCCTGAACCGTTCAAAACTGGGTCATCAGTACTGTTTAAGTGTCCTCCAATTCCCTTTAGCCATTCTCATTGATTCTACACGTGCTGTGGGTGATTCGGACTTGGAATGCTCGTGACGGAACCAAGTGTTCACGAGAGCGTGTGCAAAGAAACACGGAAAGAGCATGAAAGAAGTGACATCTCTTGAGCGAAGTCTTGTAGCACAATTCAGATGCCTGAAGCTTAGGCTTCCGGCACGGCTTAAGTACACTCCCTGCAAGAGCTCGATATCACAAGACACCGAAGCTGAAGATTTGCATCCGGGCGGGTGTCACGACACTAAAAACACGGACGCACATCCTTCTTTAAGACCAAATCAAAGGCCTCATAAGTTTCTGTATCTCGGTCGATGCCCTACAATGAGCGACAGCCGACGGACAAGACAGTATGGAGTTTCCACGATGCCAACGATAAGTACAATCACGGAGTAGTAGGTAGACTGTGGAACTCGCTACATCTATACTAATCTATACATGCCCCGGGGAACAGCACAACTACTGCTGCCAGGGGTGCTTTCACGTCAATGTTCTGTTGATTGGCCGTCTTCCTAAAAAAGCACATCTTTGTCTTACTAGCCAGACCGCGTAATAGAAACCGTCGCCGCTGGCCGAGCTGCAAGGATGTCTTTGGCTTCGGCATAGGACCCCGTGAGGCATCCAGGTGGGCTGGGTCACTCCCCGAGGCTCCAACGGAAAAGCAAGACAGTGCTTCCGCCAGCAATGGCCCATAGGTTACACCCTCCTATGTCCTAAAACCCGCACCCACAAACCCTCCATCCTCTACGCAGAGGCCCCCTTAAACATAGCCGGCCTTATGGTAGCCCTTGGTTTCAGGCCTCCGATCTCCTGCAGTCCGGTGCCATTTTTGCCCACCACACCGGCGACCTCAAAGCGAGGCTTGCGGGAAGGACGACAACGGGATAGCAGTGTCGGCAAAGCAGAGGTGGTGCAGTAGTAGCAGTAGTGGTAGCAGCAGCAGCAGCAGCAGCGGTAGTGGCCGCAGTAGCACAAGTAGCAGTAGGAGGGGTCGTCGTCGTCGTAGCAGTCGTAGCAGCAGCAGCAGCAGGGGGCAGCAGCAGCAGTGGCAGCTGCACATTTACGCTTCAGAGCTAGACTTCAGATACAGCCCATAACACCCACCCGCATTATGCCGATTCTCGTCACGGGCGCCGGCCAAGAGCGAGCAGCAGTTCGGAACATAAGTGCCGGACTGACTCAAGTCTGCATGACGCCTCGGATCCCTGAAAACCCTTCCATGCTCTTCACCGACCCTTACGACGCTATGGAAAACTAAACGTTCAGTATCCCTTGAGCCGTGAACTCTCCGCAGCCTCCGAAGCCCGAAGCCGAAATCCAGCCCACCGGCTTTAAAGCTTTTAACAGGGGAACCCAAAGAATGGTACTCAGAAGCCCAGTGATCATCCAGATCTTCTGCGTCATAGAAACCACCTTACAGTAGACTCGGACGCCGCCAATCCACGCAAGGTGGGAAGCCTTTTTAGTGCGTGCACTCTTCGCGTCCCGAATTTAGACTAAGCTCCTGGCCAGGTGCGATGGGCAGGAGCACTGGAGCATCTGAGATCTATCCTTGGCAGTGATTGGAAAGCTGAGGCCCGACTGCTTGCCGAGAGAGGGCCCTGAAGGATTACTCACATAACTCTCAGCTTACCCCTGAAACCTGAACTAGTTTTTGAAGCCCCTCTCTCACCCTAATCCGTTTTGACTTCGATGCACTTTGCTCAAGGCCTTGGTCCAGCAAAGATGCTCTTCTAGCCACACGAGAACTGATGGTCTGTGCTGCTTGCTTATACTGCAGGCGTCTGCGCTACTGTCACTGCAGTCTTATCGAAGCTTCACATTGCCACAAACACTCCCGAAGCAACACGCCTACAATGCTGGCATTTCTGGGGTGCAAACTGCGGGATCCGCGAGCCGGTCGGGGACCGCCGACACGGCAGCTGCGGCCACAGAAGCTTGACGCACGCTTTAGGGACTCTAGGTTCTGCAACTCCTAGGGTTTTGCGGCTCTGGCGGTTGAGAGAAGGTGTCAGTCTGACGCGAGCTAGAACGCACTGCCTCGGAGGAACTTTCCTCTAAATACCTCTCCATCCAGTATCTTGGCTAGGAACCTGGATTCAAAGGTGCTCCGTCCCCGCGCTAAGAGCCGGAACAACCCACCAACATCTTCCCTGCATCTATAAGCACTTCGGTGGAGACGTTGAAGCTGCTAGCTTCGCCAACATGGTAAACAGGGGCAGTGGAAGTAATATTGGCAGCACAAGCACTGGTACCTGCAGCATACTAGTCGTAGCGGAAGTAGCAGCAGCAAAAGGAACAGCCTCGGTCACGATAGCAGCAGCAGCAGCAGCAGCAGCAGCAGGAGTAGTCGTCGTCATCGTCGTCGTCGTAATGGCAGTAGCAGTAGTAGTAGCAGTAGCACTTAGTCGTGGTCATCGTCGTCGTCGTAATGGCAGTAGCAGTAGTAGCAGTAGCAGTTGCAGTAGCAATTGCAGTAGCAGTAGCAGCAGCAGTAGCAGTGGCATTGGTGGTGGTGGTGGTGGTGGTAGCAGCAGCAGCAGCAGCAGCAGCAGCAGCAGCGGTAGTGGGGGTAGTAGGAGTAGTAGTCGTCGTCGTCGCGGTGGTGGTGGTGGCAGTAGTATCAGGGCAGCAGGACTAGTATCAGTGGCAGTCGCAGTGGTAACGATACTGGAAATGGTAGCTTTAGTATAATCTTCAAACTCGTCGTCGTCGTCGTGGTGGACATGGTGGAGCTGAGAAGTAGATCGACTCTTCTTCCGGAGTGTCTGCCAGGCCAACGTTCATGGAATCGCACGAGCATGGCTGCTTCCGAAACCATTGCCACAAAAATGCGAAGCGCCTAATCCTAGCTAGCTCGGAAACAGGGTGATTGGAGCTGGTGAGTTGGCATGGGTTGGCTCAAGCTGAAGTTCCGGACAACGAAAACCTTCCAGAAAATTCAGGACTACACCCGGTCTCAAGACGCTAAGCATTCTTGTCTGAGCGCGTTCCTGATGTTTGACACAATGTGGTCGGGAGAGTTTGCAACCAGAAGCAAAGCATAAACAGCTCGGAGCCGGTGCCTGACAGCATATCCACGCTCGCCTCAGAACGGGATTCAACAGGAATCACCCTCCTCTACAGGAGGCGCCTCGACCCCTCTGAACAGCCGACTGGCCAACTTCACGTCCGAAAAGGCCACACGCCCGTGACCCTCAACACAGGACTCTGCTGCTGCTGCTGCTGCTGCTGCGGCTGCTGCTGCTGCTGCTGCTGTCGCTGCCGCTGCTGCTGCGTCTCCTACGACTATGACGACGACTACTACTGCTGCTGCTGCTACGACGACTACCACTGCGACTACGACTCGGGCCAGGTCTACGGCTAGGATTGGGGCCAGGACTAGGCTTCGGACTAGAACTAGGACTAGGATCTACAGCCAGCGCACATTCTGCAGAGAGTCAAGAGCGAATTCGACTGAGCGGTGCCCACAACAGTCATAGGACGATGATTAAGACCAGAACTGGGGCTGGGACGAGGACTGAAACTACTGCAACTGTGGCTCGACTAACTGGGTCTGGGTTTGAGACTAGGGCTACGACTACTACGACTGCGACTACGACCACGACCATTACTACTGCTACTACTAATACTGCTACTGCTGCTGCTTACTCCTACCACCACTGCCACTGCTAAAACTGCTTCCACTCATGATGCCATCGCCAAGCTCGCGGCGCCACCCCCAGTCGCAGGGTTTGCCTCGCAGAACCCAGACATGATCGAAGGCCCTAAACCCTAAACCCTGAACCCTAAACTCTAAACCCTAAACCCTAAACTCCAAACCCTAAACCCTAGACCTAGACTCTAAACCGGGCCTTCAAGAACTGTGCAGATTTGGAGGTTCGGGTTTAAACGAATGCTTGGTCAACCGGCTTTGGAGCCCAGGCTCGGAGTTTTTGAAC